GCCTAAGTCTCTCTCTTTTTCTGTTTGGATTTTATTCCTACAAGAAATATCACTTTTGTCCACAATCTCTCATGTATTTCTATTCCCTTGAAATACAAAGAGGCAATGGATTCTGGTATAAATTAGGTAGATTTAATGAAATTTATGAGTTGTAACTTGTGCCTTGAATATAAAATACCTGAGTGAGGCATAAGGTATTTTGCCGATGCCATTATTGTCACCTGCCTGGTTTTCTCATTCTTCTGTGTCTGTTTTTGAAACACTTAGGAGTTGTGGAGCCTTGGGAATAACAGTTTCTATATGGCATACATAGCAAATCCTTCTAAGGTCTTTTTTTTTTTTTTTTTTTTTTTTTTTTTTTTTTTTTTTTTTTTTTCACAGTGTCTTCTTTTAAAGAAGCAGGGCAGACCTACCCTGCAAAATGAGAAAATGGTATTACTTCCACACTCATTTTTTTTTTTTCTTTTAAAGAAGCAGGGCAGACCTACCCTGCAAAATGAGAAAATGGTATTACTTCCACACTCAGAAGCTGGCTCTTACCTCATATAGACAATACTTTCCCATTTAATTAGAAAGTGATTTCTCATCTGGTGTTGCACAGCATCAAAAACRTTGCTGCTCAATATCACTGGTAAGCATTACAGGTTTAGTGGAAATTACCTTCCCCCTGCCTATCCCAGCAAAGTTTTTCCTGTTGAAACACAGATTCAGTCATGAGGGACTATTGACCTGGAASAAGTCCTAAACCAAAATCACTGAAATATTATTTGGAGAGGTAGCAGATTAATTGTGGTCTTCCAGAAGAGCACCATGTTATGACTGGAATGGGCATTATGATGGAAATTAAGAGCACTCCTTGATATATAAACATTGATGAGAGGTCTTTAATATTTTTGTGAATTAACATAATATCCATCTGTGTATCTCTTTTTACATAGACACAGCAATAAGAACAAGTGTTGTTCTGATGGACAGTGTAGGGTAAGGCAAATTAAACAACTCTGTTGCTGTTTTGAGAACTTCTCTTTTTCTTAATGCAGTGTGAATCTTACCTTGTGTGCCAGCTTGTTGTGCAAGTCTCCAGTGTGCAAGAGTCTCAGAGCAGAAAAAGTATATAGCTGTTAACTAAAAATGTATACCAATGTAATTTAAAGAGTATTATCTTGAAAGAAATCCTTCTGCATGTGTATTGTTTCTTCTGGTGCAAGGTGACATTGATTATTATAACACAAACACATGGATTYTGCTCTCTAATTTAAACTACATGTCTGTGCTTCCTCATCTGTTATCTGAGCAGAGAGAAAGACATTGCTTTCTGTACAGTTGCCCCATGTGTTTTAAACTTTGCTCATGAGTATTATTGTTAAGTGCCAGGTCTGACCTTGTTGAAGCTGTTGCTTAAGCTGGTATTGCCACCACATCACCCTCTCTTTATGAAACAAATACTGGTTTTATAAGCTGGCTGAAGTGACATGAGGGGATTTCCTGCATAGTGAAAATCATTCCATTATAACTATTTWCATGTAATCTACCTATCCTGAAGARTCATCTTAGGGATCAGGCCATGGTGCACACAACCAGTAAGTAACTTTSTCATTCAGTTGAGCAATAAATTTGTAGCATGTACAATACTGCTGAGAGAAGTAGACCAATGAAGTCACRCATTGTTTACCTGAGATTTGGAAGAGTAGGCTATTTAAATCCAAAACAGTGGCTCTAAGAGTGCCTTCTTAATTGCAGTCTAGCCCTGGTGACACTTAACTCCATGAGCAGCTTTGCTGTCCCATGGTGCCTGCCATGCTGGTTGCAGTTGAGGTCCAAAACAGCTCTGTTTTGGCAGAGCTCATTGCCCTGCTCTGTCAGCTTGATGAGGATCCAGGAAGCTGATGTTATGGGATCAGAATTACCTGGGACAGCTGATCTGGTGAGTGTTCCAGAGCACACAATATCCTTGGAGAGCTTCATCTCCTCATAAAGCAGTGACAGCAGCTGCTGCTGTGAGAAAGATGGAGCAGCTCCCTTTTATATAACATTACAGTGGCAGGATAGTCATCTGAGAAATGTCTGAGTGTGCTTGTATCATGCTGTGTATGGCCTTGCAGGCTACCCTAGCTCCTAGATGCTAGACCCAGCTAGCAGAAGAAAATGGGTTTAGTCATTTAATGTCTTTACATATGAAATGGTTTGTCAGGAATTTGAACCAGAATCAATTCAGTGACCCGGAAGAAAACATTGAGTATTGGTGTGCAGCAAGCTCAGTGTGATTTGTCACAGTGAATAGGCTGCTCTATAGGCTTCTTGCTGCAACTGTTGTATAACATTTTCTAGATACAGTTTCTTTAGCAAACCTGCCTGAAAGAGCATGAGTTACAGTGGCTAGGAGCAAAAACAGGTAGTCTTTCTGATGGCTGTGCTGAAAGAAAATTTCTTGTGACTGTTGTTACCTATTTCCCTTTCCGTAGTAAAGTAGGAAGTAAAACTCTTTCTGACTAGGAATTGTTCCAGCTGTGTTTGAGCTGTGATGATTTGGGTGATCTATGCACARCTTAGAAATTACAGTTGACATTGTGACATTGTCACTATATTGCAAGATTTCTCTACATATCTGCTTTAGCTCCCAAATTCTTGGTGGCAGGATAACAAACGCTGACCTTTGTGAATAAGTTTTGACTTGAATATCAGAAGGACTGGTGGCATTGGGAAGATTTATATTCTTGGGAAGAGCTAGATAATGCAGTGCAGAAAACGTCCACATTGTCAATAGCATGATGGATAATTTACACACAGATCAGAGAAACTTTTTTTTTTTTTTTTGNATAATTTACACACAGATCAGAGAAAACTTTTTTTTTTTTTTTGGTAAAGAATGAAATATGTAACTGAAGGACTAGAGAAGGCTAGGGGAAGTGATTTCACTCCAAAGGTGCCCTATGTCCTTAAGACAAGTCTTAGAGTCCATGAGAAGGATTTTGAACAGTGTGAACTTCTCCCAGAGGTAAAGTCCTTGATCAGAATTTGCCCAGAGCTGACGTGCCTTGGTTTGACTCTCCTCACTGTCAGGTGCTGTGCCTGCATCAACTCCAAGTTTCATGTGATCCCKGAGTTGCACATAACTTTCCTCCTCTCCACATTTATGTCTTCCTATCACAGAGGAGGAACAGTCATGCAGGATCAGACTAAACATCTGTCTAGCTGGGTATCCTGTTTCTGACAGCAGCCTGGGGTAGCGTATAAGAAAATGTCAAGCACGTAATGATCCTTTCTCAGTGTACTCTCCTACCTTCTACTGAATCATGGTTTTGGGACTTCCTGAGATAGAGATAATGGTAACATTTTTCATCCCTCCCCTTCAGTTCCATTAGTGGTGCAAGCCTTGGAGACTTACTTTCCATTTTGTTTAACAAGTCTTATGTCTGTCTTTTGTTTAAGAAARTTTTTCCTTTTTTTTTTAAATTCGGTATCTTGCACAAGCACTCTTTCATACAATGGACTGTGAAGCTCGTGTATCTTTTCCCCTGTTTAAATTCCTCTTAGGGATTCTCTTCCTCCTTGACATCGACCAGAATGAGTTTGTTGCTAATTTATTTCTATTTACTCTGTTAGTTAGCGGCTCGTTAGCGTGAGGGGAAGGGTGTGGGGGATCCCTGGGGAAGCTGCTGGCTCTACAGGCTCCAGCAGGATGGCTCCATTTTAGCTGTGCTACAGAACAGGGAGGAGTTAAGGTGCTCAKTCCAAGGCAGAATTTTTGAAAACCAACAGTTCCAGGAGCCTTCATATCCAGAAACTTCACATTTCTCTGTGAGACAAACTTGTGCAGCCCAGGTCTCAGTGTGACAGGGATGAAGCCAATTGCCACTGACGCAGATTTTGAATGATGTGGATAATCAAACAGTAAAATAATTTATTCGGCTTCTGGTACCCAGCAAGTTGTGACTGGTTCTTTTCTAAATCAAACCTTGTCTGAGGAGGATAAATAGTGCTACACTCACACTGCCTGCCCTCCCCCTTCTTCGCAGCAGGAAGTAAAAGCGTCTGTGGAAGAACTTTGGTGTGAGCAAACACAATATTGAGCCAGGAAATGTTTATGCAGGACCATGTGAAAACCTGAAGGAAAAAGTAGATCTAAAATAATCCCATGCCAAACAACTACTTCCCTTTCAATTTCTTGGTATTTTAGTGCACATGGTTTTTAATTAAAAAACCAAAAACTCTGCTAGTAATACTTAATTCTGAGTTAGATCAGTTCTTTTCCACTTCAGTATTTACTTCTTGTCTTGGAGAACTGGACAGACAAGTGTTAGTTTCAGGRGAAGTGGATCCATATCCTTTGTAGCTGTAGCTGTGTAAGTCCCTGGGCTCCTGCATTTGAGAAAATAGCCCTGACTACCAAACTTTTTCAACTGTAACAATTCTGACTACAGAAATTCTTATCTGGATGTAARTGATTAAGAAGGGAGGAAGTGATCTCTAAAAGCTTCATACAYGGGGAAAAAGTAAGAAATATTACTGAGTCATTCTTTGTCATAGTTGCCAAAATGCAACTCTGCTGTGACAGAGTTTATAATTTTTTTCTACTGCTGCTTTTGTATGCTGATAGGTTTAAGTGGAGCGATTAAGCCTTTGGAACACAAGATGCAGTTTATGTGTCAGCTAATCCAGTGCTGACCCCAGTTTTCTAGTCTCTGTGGGAACGTTCTCTTCTGCTTCAGCATCTTGTCARCTACTTTGAATGCTCTTAATCCTACTCATATTTTGTGGTATAGGCCAGGCCAAAAATATGTTCTCATAATTCAGGCCARGCAAATTAGAAAGGTTTTGCCTGCTAGGCATATTCATTATTTTATGGCTCAAATGTTTCACTGTGAAAGCAATGTATTGTTCCTCTTCCRTGTCATAGCAAAAGCAGTCTAGAATCACCTGCTTTTCCATTGTCCCCTTCATGTCCAGTTCTCAATAATTYTGATGCTGTGCAGCTCTCTTTATGCATCTCTGTTTTTCAGATTATTCTCCCCCACCCATCAACTGCCCCTCAGATTTAGAATCCACCTTTGCTGCCAGAGGGCATCTCTGCTGCCAATCATCACTCAGGGTCGGTCAAATGTTGCTGTTCTTGTTATTGACAAGCAGATAAAAGAATCTGGTGATTGACCTGCTGTGATAAACTAAAGAAGATCTTTCTGTCATGAGTAAGTTATGTCTTGCTTTTTCATTCCGTTTCTAAACTGTTCCTTGTTGAGTCCAATTTTCAATGGATTGATAGTAGGATAATTCTACATTTTTTTGGATTGATCTACTTTGGGTTTGGAGGGCACTTGTTAGAGGCATAGCAGCAATGCTAATCTCTTCTCTTTTGAGGTTTTCAGTCATATAGAGTGATGTAGTGCTTAAAAAAAGTGTGCTTAAAATTTCAGGGATGTGATTTTTTGATTATGCCAAGGAACCCTTCCCATCCTTTGGAACAAAAAGCCTGGTAATAAGCTGGCATTTGGAGGTAAGATTTTTTATATGTCAAAAGTTTTGTTTATTATCCTCATGGATTGGACTAATACCTATTGATAAAGAAGACTCTGTGCTGTTGGTAGGGACTGAGCTTTAGGAATAATTTTATGAGTTACTATTTTTGGGAAATAAAACCATGCACATTCTATCTGTTACGTGAATGTCTCTGACTTAAAAAAATCCTCAACTTACTGCAGTCAGATGAAGCACATTACTCCTCCTTTTTATCTACTTGTTTTCTTTTTGATTTATTTGAATGAAGGTAGATATTGAGCTAGATCACACAAAGACAATGCACATATGCCYGAACCTCAGATAGAATTGTGGACTAAAATTAAAATAAAAATTATATGTACATATAGCTGTGGTTACATAAGAGTTTGGCATTTTCTTTGCTGGTTTGTAATTAAAGTTTGTTTTAAAAAAAAAAAAATGACAAAGGCAGTATCAGCCTCCAAATGTTGAATCTTTCCCTGCATTTCTGGGAAATGCATTTCATTTGGAAAACTTGCACTGTGCTTTCTCCTCATAGTTCTCCTACTACCTCYGCTACTTCTACTGCTACTACTTCTGTTAGTAATAATTACAGTTGAGTAGTGTTTAAGACATGCTAATTACAACAAGAATACACAAAAGAGATGTCTGTTCTTTTGGGGAACTTACCTTCTGACACAAGAGGAAAACCAAGATACACAGATAGAAACTCTGTATTCAGGAGTACAGGGTATGGAGGCTGAGTGTATTATTAGCAATATTGTTGCTGAGGTTTTTAAAGGCTTGGAGTGAAAGGCAAGAATGAAGGTAGACTTGAAGAATAAAGAAGTTTCTGTCTAGCTATTTCTGGGGATTTCCTGCCTCTGAGGGAGAACATTGCAGAAAACACTAATATGGTTGCTTAGATAAATTAGGGGCTTATCTAGACCTCTAGATACACAAAACATACAATGGTCTGAGGAGTGGGCTACATATGCAAGTGAAAAATGAAGTATCTTATGTTTTAAGTAGTAGAGCAGGCAGTATGACAAGCTTCAGAATTATACCTGCCTGAAAAAATAGCAGTAGTGACTGGATATGATATTGGTATGTTTGCTTTTAGTTTGCAGAATGTCTCTGAGAGACAAGCTTCCTGCTAGCCAATTTATTTTCCAGATAACAGGGACTGTCAAGAAGTACACTGAGAAGGAAAACACAGTAATTAATTTGTCACTGAAACCTGAGGGGTCCTCTTCCTCATATAGGTGATAATGAAGGTTTTGCATGTAATTAGCAGGAATAATTAGCACATTTCTGGTAACAAATAGACTGAGTGGTTCTCTGCAAATAAATTAATTGTTGTGCTAACACAGGCAATTGTCTCTTTATTGTCTGACAATGCCCCTTGTTTGCACTAAAGCCTATTTCCGACCTTAGCAGCTTTTCACAAATAGGAAAGAGAATCTATAAAATTGTACCTCATCATCTGCTTTTAAGAAACTTCAGGACCACCAASGGACTTGTTTGTTGAGTCTTGTTAAACAATTTGCAATCATGGACGTGTGTTTCACGATATTAAAAAATGGTTTGTTCAAATCAGCTTAGGGACTAAGCCAGAAAACCCACGCTAATCAATCGAATGCTACTCAGGGCATCTAGGAAAAGAAATGTCTCTGAAAAATAATATGGCAGCAGATCCCAGAATTCCACAAATAATCACACAACTAAGCAGAACTGGTTTTATGTGGTTGATGCTCCACATAATGCAAAATGGTGCTGTGATGTGTGCACCCTTTGCTTCACTGCTGTAAAAGGCAAAGGTATCGCAGGTCTGCTAAAGTGTATCCTCTGAGCAGCCCTAGTTTAGACAAGGCTTACTCTGCCTATATTCTGTCTTGATTTGATCTTTTTAGAAGATCTAAAAAGCTACTATTGAGCTAGGCTTTCTACTTCAGGTGTTTTGTTTCATCCTTTTTCTTTCTTTTTTTTTTCCCCCTGTGTTTCCTCTGCTTAGGCACAACTGTCATCTCTGCACTAAGCTTACATTAGCTTCTGGGTCTTCATAAATATGGAAACTATTGGTTATGGTGAAATCTGCAGATAGATTTCATCCCTCCCGTGTGCCTGTGGAGGAAGTCGGAGAGGAAAGGAAGAAAATGTAGTTTGAAGATGGGATGCTGCATGAATAAGGTTGGGTAAAATAATAAATTTTGTTTAGAGGAAGTATTATTGGTGCTTCTGTTTTTTGCTACAGTAATAATTCTCCAGTCTTCCTCAGGAATGGCAACAAGAGAATATAACTGATAGGTGTCTCTTTATCTTTGAGGGTAGGGTTACTGTGCTTTTCCAAAATAATAATTCATTATTTCATTTCAAAATTAGTATTTATATTGGTGTGTGTTTTGAYTTTTATATTTTCATTTTTTCCTCACTTTTGTTGAGTAACCATGGCACTTTGCAGTGCAGTTAATCTTGCAATATAATGCCAGAAATTTTTGGAATTAATGTATCAAACTGCAGCAGAGGAACCAGTCCTGCRTTTTTCAGTGAAAAGTGTTGTTTAATAGCAATGGTTTCCTAAAATTTTAAAAAAAAATGCAATCTTCAGTTTCCTAAACTTGCATTTTCTGGCATTATGCATCAGTGGAAATTTAACCATTGTACTACACTTCCCCTTTTCCTGCCTTTTTGCAGAAAATGCTGCTCTTTGCAGCTATTCCATGTTCTYGTTATAGTTTAATAATAATGGGTACGAGAATATGGGAGCTACCACCAACGAAAACCTCAGAGCCAAGCAGTGCTTTTGCAAATGTCTGTAATCTTGTGAAATTTTAGACTTGTCCAAACATGTAGCTGGTTGACTGCAGCCCCTTTTCCCTGGTGTGTTGCACACCAGCCAGACAACTCCTGGTGTGCATCACGTCAAGTGTGGAGTTATTGTTTGTGCTCAGTGAAACTGTGTGAGCATAAAGACAATACCTACCAAAAACACATCAAAACTTGCATCCATCAGGTCTTCCCAGAGATATCCAGCAAAAATTTGTTGCACTACCTCTACTGTTTGCTTTTGTGACCGCCACTGGCCATCATGCCAAGGTAACTTCTGTGTAGAAATGATCATGGGGAGAGGGACATGAGCCTTGGATACTGTGCAATCAAGCCTTTTATGTTTTCCATGGCATTTCTCAGTCCTGAACTAAGATTTGGACTTTATTGTGCACATAGGAGAAGACTTATTAACAATGTCACTATTAATTGACAGTTTATATGGAGCTGCAGAGACAACAGCCAGCATAGAGTGGGGATGAGGGATTCTGAATGGACTGACTCAATATTCAGGGTGGGACTTCTGAATTGTTCAGAAAATGTGGCTTCCATGGGATGTGAAGGAGTCTGTTCTTCAGTCTTGTAACCTTTCTGCCTGGTGGATCTTTGGGATGCCACTGTTTTGCTTGCCTTATCTAGAGTGAATTTTCTATCCCATTTTTGTTCCCTGTACRTATCCAAGTGCATAGCCAGCACTTYCACTKKTTGTGTGGTGCTTGCTGCTCTCTGCTTCTCTTTAGCTACTCTCAAAAAAGMCCCAAGCTGACCTAGATGGTGGCCCTCTATGAATTAAATAATAGAAAGCTTGAAGGAAAACCAGTTTTATATTAGCAGCAGAGGCAGAAAAACATTCAAATTTTTTTGATTCAGTGTTCCAACAGTGTCCTCCTCTTTGAGCCAACATGGGGCCTCATGAGGTAATTTGGCCAAGTCATACCACATTTTTGTCAAAGAARAGCAATATTTTGTGATRCTTTAAAAATTTTGGTCCTTTTTCATTACTGAAAAATTCTGTTTGTCTTGTACTACACTGACTGTTGACAGCTAGAAAAGACAACTTAAGCCAAAGGATTATTCATATCACATGGAGGTGACAATAGAAACTGTGCTCCTGGTGCAGCTCTGTTTGTGTGTGGGATGTGCAATAAACCCCAAGGTGGGGTGGGTGAGCCCAGCTGTGCCATTCAGTGATGGGCTGAGAGGTTTCTGTGTCCGGGGGGGTCTCTCTGTGGGGTGCAAGGTCATAAGCTGGCATTACACTTGGTTCCASACAGCTCACGGTGTCGGTGTGTGCTCAGCCACAGGGCTGGGCATCATGAAACAATGTGTTAAGTGACTGTGTAATTTGTCGTGGTGACAAATGTTGACAGAAGAAAGATAAAATCTAGGATTAATATTGTTCTCATTAAAATGTTTCCTTTGGTGCTAATTCTGCCTGCTGAGATATGCTGTTCATATTTGAACTGCTGCTGTATGCAGGGTTTGGTAGGATGAACCAAGGGTAAAGCTTCAGTTTTTAAAGCATGTGTTTTCTTTTTAAATAAAGTCAAGATTTTTTCCTTCTGTTGTTTTATAGATTCCTATATGTGATGACAGCCTTGTGGTGGTGAAACAGATGTCTTCTCCCTTTKCTTGTGTTCTGTTTGTAACAATGAGCTAAATTCATGTTCTTTGTRTTTCGATTTATGAAGCCACTTGCAGAAGTGTTATCCAATACAAATTAAAGTGCCAGTTGCTGATCGTGCATCAGTGCTTTATCTATAYTTTCCCAAAACAGAAATAAATCAGGGTGTGATAGACAGATCTCAGCAAATCTCTGCAGTGATTTTATTGAATAACACCAGAACTTCTGGGAATCATGCATAGCACTATGGTACACGATAGTGGGTAATGCAGACACAAGAATTTGTAATGTTTGCCCCAGKCAAGTTCTAGAAAGTTTTCTAATATAGTCCAAAATCCAGTATAGAGGTAGACAACTTAAACAGATAGTCTAACTTCTCACGCTCCTTTTCTCTGAAGGCTCTACAGTACTGATAACTTTCAAAGGAATCATTTTCTGGAATTTGCTTTTAGCCATTGCTAGTAGCCTGACTTTACATGGTAGGATTAACTGAGGACATTTAAAAGACCTGGAAAAGGTTTTCTCTGGCTGTTGTTTAGATTTTTTATTTTTCTCTTGATTTAGTTTTAATCTAATCTCTTCTGGGCACCAAGCAGAGCTGAAAAGTGAGTGACTTTTTAYCTAAATTGAAGTGATAGCAATTGATCATGTTTTCATCATCTGTCTTTGCTGTCATTGGYGCTTCCTCTGTGATCTGCAGTTGACTGAGAGAAATGAAAACTTAATTGAATTCTTAAGTTCTCTAGCTGTTTATTTATAGATAGRTATGTTGAAGCATGGTGATGTAGGACAGAGTTCTCTTTCTTGCTATGAATATAAAGGTTTTATAGATTTCATTAAAGGCAGGGACACATTTGACTTTCATGAAAAAGCAGGATGAAATTTAGCTTTGTATCATGACTTGGGAGTTGGTCATGGTGACTGATGATAGAATAGAGAATTGGTCACCCTGRTGAGGTTTCAGGTAATGCTTATTTCCCACATTTTCATTTTGTTCCTGACTAAAGGACAGAGAAGATTTTTAGAAAATGTGTTTTGCAAAAATGTGCTGGTACCACTACCTTTGTGGAATTTGAGAAATACCTGGTAAAGCCTTAAAAAAWTTTTGACATTTTGTTTTTGCCTTTTCTTCAGTTTCCCTCATAAAAAATGACACTGATTTGGATGTTTTACTTTACAGATTTTGCACTGTTAGAACAGCAGCATCACTGTGCATTAAACAGTCAAGAAGCAAAGCAAAATTCAGCCTTGGCAAAGGAAAGTTAGCCTCATAAATGTTTGTGAGTAATAAAAAGCATGTAAAAAGCATTTACCAGAAATGCTTCATTTTTGTCAGATGCCAGAAGTATTAAACTTGGAAAAAGCAGATATTTTAATTGCATTATGGTCACTACAAAACTTTTCAGAGATATTACTCCAGGTAAATAGATTATCAGTACCAACTCTTGTGGTCACTGTGCATTGATTCCACCAACACATGGGGAATTCTAGTCCAAGTTAAATATTAATAGAGTTTCCTGCTTGCAAAGTCTCTGCTGCTTTTKACCTTAGCAAATAAGCTCCTTGCCCAAGGATTTGGTCAAATGAGGGAGGARAAAACCCAAATCACCAAAAGAATAYCTTAAAATTWAGTTTGTTTGATTTTCTTTAGAATGGAACAGGGMATAATTGTAACATTTTTCACTGAATAATTGTATTTCCAAAAGTCATGACATTGAAACRAATACAGGCTTTTGAGGGGTATATATATGATATTTATTGTGATAAATGTCCTTGAATTCTTCTTGCTAATTCACCATATATTTGCAGAGTGATCCAAGTGTTAGAGCAAACATTGACAGCTCATGTTATTAGGAAGCACAGAAGAAAGATCTAAGAATCAGCAAAGACTGTTGTGTACCGTGAAGGTAAAGCCTTTCATTTTATTYTTTTCTTTCCCCTGTGTTGGTGGCTTTTCTCCTGTATTGAAGTGCAGAAAGAAATGTTGGCTCAGAGCAACAGCCTTTTTTTTGTTTGGATCTTTACTCATTGCTCCACCTTAATGATGCTTACTGAAGTTCACCAACAAAACACCTTGCAACATTTATTCACTTGCAGTGTTCAAACTGTAAATAGCAACTGAGCCTTTGTTGAGCATTTTTACTACTCCGGAAGGGTAAAAAATATTTCTATGAGTGTTGGAATTAACACATTCCTATCACTAATCCAGTGTTTCTAGCAGTCTAGTAAACAACCCATTAAAATTATGGGTAATACTGGAATTAATTTTATCATAGGAAGGCGGGTTATTGGGACAGTAGCTTCTTCTACCCCCTGAGAGTGTTATTAATTCAAATAAAGCTCTCACTCTTCAGTTGTACCSTGTCATCTAATCTGAATGAGTGCTCAGGGTATGAAAGCTGCTGTGAATGTCATTGTCCCTTTCTTGTCTGAGGAGTGTTTCTTGCTTTGGTAGTGGAAAATGACATCATAAATGGGCTAGCAAAATGTTGTAGAYGTCACTGCATGCTGGAATCTAAAGATATAAAAATGCATTTGGTGGCAAGGGGTGGCTTCTGTGAGAAACCACCAGAAGCTTCCCCTGTGCCTGTCAGTGACACTGGTGGCCCTTTTGAGCTAACAAACTTGAGAAGGGAGAAAATTAMCTGTGCAAGAGAAAACTGCAGCTGGAGGCAGTGACAATGTGAGAGTGAAAGCTCTGCAGACACCAAGGGCAGTGGAGAAGGAGGGGCAGGATGCTGCAGATGTAGAGATTCCCTGGGAGCTGTGTTAGGGTCAGGGTGAGGCTGCTGTGSCCCTGCAGCCCACGGAGATCCACAGCCCACGGGACCATRCACTCGAGCACGGTGGGTGTGACCCCATGGAAAAGCCACCCTGAAGCAGAGTCCTGGCAGAACCTGTGGACCCATGGAGAGAGAGGARMCCACACTGGAGGGGGTTTGCTGGCAGGACTCTTTTGTAAAGGATTGTCTCCTGTGTGACCCCACATGAGAGCAGGAGGAAAGGATGAGGGGTCCTCTCCCTGAGGAGGAAGAGGCAGCAGAGGCAGCATGTGATGGACTGACCAGAGACMACAGACCTGTAAAGATGAGCTTGGGAAAAAGAGATGAGTGGGGTAAAGTTATTTTAAGATTTGGTTTTATTTCTTGTTATCCTACTGTGATTTGATTGGTAATAATTATTTTTTTCCTCAAGTTGAGTAGTTTGTCCATGACAGGAGTTGGTGAGTGGTCTTTCCCTGTCCTTATCTTGACCCATGAGCCTTTTGTTATATTTTCTTTCCCCTGTTCAGCTGATGAGGGCAATGATAAAGCAGCTTTGTTGGCCATCCAGACAGGACCAACCCATGACAAAACAGACCTGAAAATGTCTGTGAGCGTTCAAAGGGATACCTGTGGATTACTCTCCTCAATTATTCCCACTGCTTAACAAGRAAACAACAATAATGAAAAACCTTAAATCCCATCAGGAGAGAGAAAACCCTTATTTTGAAAATAATCAAATTTGTTCYGTCYARATTTAAATTCATTGYCAAATTGAGGCTTGAGMYACTGATTCTGATTTTTATATGGATGATCAATGAARGGAGGACTTGAGTAGAAAAGATCTAAGACKGGYCTGTYTTCAGAAATAAAGATACAGTGGAAGAACACAGCAACTTCACAGCAAAAATCTTCCATGTGTTCAAAATATTAGGCCTAAGGTAGCCTAGGCTTTATATGGCTGTTTAGAAACAGTTCAAATTATTGTAAAAATGGACCCCAAACTTAGATTTTATATTTTTGACTCCTCAAAATGCAGGATATTGGCCAAGTTTCAAACTCTATACCAAAAGTCAGCTCAGTCATCATAGGAGTAATTATGCAATAGAAAAGGCTGCCAAGGGCTGTTTTGTAACCAGTATCACTGGAATATGCAAGACTCAACAATATGCTTATATGTCAAAGATGCTGTAGGATTAGTGAAATAATGCTGCAGGAGGCTTGGRTTCAGGTAGCCCTTGAAATCCTATGGACAGAAACTTGTCCCAACACAAATGATTCTAGGAACACATTGTAAGAGCTGCTATGCAGTGGGATTAGCATGAAAACGTACATATTTTCAAAATATTCTTAATATTTTTATCTTTTATTCTTTCTTGCAAGAGAGGTTCATTTCTGCCAACATGAATATATTTTGCATAATGTCTGATATTAAAAGTGATTTTTCCATGAGAAGAATAGGTGATCTGGAACCCATTTTTGCACCAAAACAGAATAGTCCATGTTTGCACCAAAACAGAATAGTCCATGTTTGCATGAAGGATGGCCTGGCATTTACTGAGAAATAAAATTTTTACAAAAAAATCTTTCCCTGAAACAGATCCTTTGGGTAGGAATATTCTAATATATACAGGTATATAATACAATATAATAGAGTATACAATATAATAGAAATAATATAACATAATTAACATAATATAATGTAATATATTCTATGATATACTGATACAGTATAGTATACTATATATACTAATATAGTATATGTTAAAAATATATTAATATGCACTAATAATTAATTTTCTCTCTCCTTCCTGGAAATTAATTCCTCTGTTCATGATGTTATAATTTCCTTACCTATTTTTTTAAGCAGTTTTTGCCTGGCTTTCTTAGTTCATAATCTATTGATAGCTCATCTGTAACAATACTTCCAGTTTTGTCTTTTTTCAGAGGTCCTRCATAGGTTTCAGAGGTGTCATGGAACCTCCTCCCATGACCACATGCTCTTTTTCATTCCTGAATGAAGCTGTCCATATGAGTTTTGAAGTGGGCTGTCAGATTGAGGTTGAATTTTATGTGGAGCAACTGCTCTGATTGTTGAAGGGACAACATCCCATGAAGGACAGATGAACTTTGAGATTGTCTCAAGTAATTAAAGTTACTAATTTATACTTTGTTTTTTCTGTTCTGAATTAATCCATACTTTTATGAGATTGATATTACCACAATTTATTTCATATAACTTTATTAATTTTGCCAAAGCATGCCAGATGAGAGTGTAGGTAACTCCTAATGAAAGATGAGCACCTGCAGAGGATGAGTCAGCTGACCAAGGCAATACAGGATTTCTCTGTTACAAACCATCTCTGTATGACCCTGACCTAGCAAACCATCTTGACTGAGGGCTTGACTGTACATTGAGCTGGTCAAGAACAGCCACTCCAGAATTCTTTCTGAGTAATTGTTTGTGTCTGTGTATTTATTCCAGTTACATTGCCCTATACTCTTGGTTGTTCCTAGATGTTTGTAACGGACACTGAAATTTCATGTGCTCTTTTAATCCCAACTGAAGCATAGGCTTGAAGGGAATCATTAACATTAAGCTTTTCCTGAAGTTACATTGCTTGCTRGTGGGTGTTTTARSCAAAATGTAAACTGGGTTTGTCACAGCTAATTCTATCACTAGACTGAGGTGTCACTGATAAGGACATTCTCTTTGCTCCTCTCTCTGCAATTAGACACCTGTGGATCAGGATTACACAGGGAACCAGCCAGCATGGCTAATGTCAGTCTGTGTCTCTCTGTGACAGCAGAAGGCTCCTGAGATGAGAGGCTATAGGGGATGGATCAGGACCAGGGTCCCCAAGATCTCTCCCTCCACAGGGCGTGGTATTCAGACTTATGTTCTGATTGATATGTTTTTGTAGCCTTAGGATACTACGAAATTTCCCAGGTAATGTGGAAAAATATTAACCTGTAGTTTGAATATTACCAAAGCAGTGATTTCTGCCCTGCTTTTGCTTTCATTGTAGTCTGGACTCCGAAATTCTGTGAATTTTCAGCTCCACCTAAACTTTTAGCTATATGAGGTATCTGAAATGGGACTAGTGAGTGTGTGTAAGGAGAATGAAGGTACATGTGGAGGAAAGTTCTTATAGATAGAGAAATGCAGAATCTGAGACAGATACACAAAAAATCCAAAAGAGCTGATTCATGAGAGTAAACAAGCAAAAGACAAAGGCGGTTCCCTGGAGTTGGTTGCAGTTTTACACAAATGTGCTGAATAGTGAATTGTGGTGTCTCAGTGACYTCATGAATCTTTTCTGTTCCTGCTGCAGGTGTGATAGAAGATGAGGCAGTGATGTCGAGATTCCRTACCTGAATCTGACAGAATTTACAAGCTGAAGATCTATTCAAACACAACAGACTAACTTGGTGTAAAGAAAGAGTGACTATCATGTGGGGACAGCACGGTGTAAGATAGCAGTGAACTGCACCTTCTGAGGTAATCTGTTGCCTTTTTGGATAAAATGCTTTTTTCTCTGTGAGGATGTACTTCAATGTGATAGCTTTCAAAGACAACCCCTCTCCAGGCTCTCCACCTCCCCAGTAAATAGGGACGTGGCTTTCAGCAGTGGAACCAATACAGTTAAAACCCCAGTAATGATTCAATGACTTGCTGTGTATTTTCATCTTTGAGAGTCAAGGAGCAAACATCTTCATTAGAAAAAATGATGAAACTCATCTAAATTATCTATTAACTTTCTAGAACCAGTCCAGAAGGTAACAGTCATTCATTTCTGCACACAAAGGGAAAAGATGGGTGTGAACCAGAAGCATGTTAGGAAAGTGAAATTTCCTACAGTATAGTATATATTTATCGGAACCACATGTTAAGTAATTTCAGACAGGTCCATTTACATCTGATGCATGTGACTGTTGTTAATTTACAGAAAGTATATCATTAAATTAGTCAGGTAAATTCATCAGGGTGCATTTACCCATCCCATCTGCACTTGTTCCAGTTTTCTCTCACGTGGAAAACTTTCCTGTTGCATCAAACCTCATCATTGCCCCATGTGACATTTCCTTTATTAACATAGAACCAACAATGTCACACACTTATGGAGAAATCTTGACCTGTTGAAATTAGTGGTGAAACTCCTCTAGATTTCCATGAGGATTTCCTTCTTACAAAAGAGCCTCTCAGAGAAAAGCAAAATACATTTGTTTCTGTTTTGTGTTAGAAGAAGTAAAAACTGTGATCATACCTTTTTAGATCATATTCTTCTTTACAATGTTTTACTCTTATTTGACCTGTATTTAATTAGGGAGTTACCATTTCTGCTTGCATCATTCCACATGTGGAATTTAAAATTCCCAAATCACCTTGAGCTTATATTTTAATCAAAATACAAATATTTCTTCTAGTTTTAACCATTTCTTAATCTGATGCTGATGACAATAGACATTAAAGGTTTAATCTTTTAATTCTTTCTGTAAATTGTTAATCAAAATATGAAGAATAGCTCTGTGATATAAATCCCATGCAAAACAATTCTTGCCATGTTATGGTGAATTGATACTTTAAATTCTCATCTTATTCCTTCTGTCTATAAACCAATTGCTTTGTCTTATGATTTTCTTTATCCAGGCTCAAAATTTTCCTTAGGGCAGTTAATATTTAACACTCTATGCACWAATCCATCACGTGAAAAATTGTCAGAGGCTTTCTGAGAGTCTAGATGTTTGTTGCTCCTAGMGTTCTTCATGTCAATGGCTATTTCCTGTAGAACCTTGAAGTCAATAAAATGTTTTGATGTAATTTGGTTCATAAATCCAGTCTGATCTGGTTTTATGTATCTTCATGCAATTAATACTTTTTTATATCTTTAATATTTCTGCTACTGGCTTTTTTGGCCATATTAAGTGGTCCTGGGGCCAAGTTAATGCCACTGGAATTGAAGAGTTCACCTATTTGAGATCACAGAATATCCTGAGCTGGAGAGAATACAGGAAGATCATTAAATCCAGTTCCTGGCCCTGCACAGGACCAAATCTCTGTGTATTCTGGAGAACATTGGTTTTACCACTTTTTAGTTTTAGAGCACAGGTATATAACACATTCTGTGGATCAGTGTGCTAGATAACTTTTTCTTGGACCAAAATTAGATTAATCACAATTTGTTTTTCTGTTTACGTGTTTTTTAGCTGTATTTTTTTAAWCCTTAGCTTGATATGTTCTTGCAGGGGCTATTAATGTGAAATAAAATATATATAAAATCTCTAAGACCTACATAAAGAAAAGGAAAGAAAAACACCAGTAGAAAGCAATAACAGTTGCCCAGAACTGCAGTGTAAGTGAAATCACAAAGGCCTTAGCAGCTGAGAAAAGGAGTGCTAGAAATAGCAAATGCAGATGATAAAATAGAATTGTAGCCAAAAGTAAGGGTGAATGTTATTTCTGTGCTTGTATGGAGGCTTTTTTTTTCTCAAAAATTTTAGATACATGGGTCCTTTTTTTTTAAACTCTTTTTTTGTTTTGGAACTTTTCTATAATCCAGCCATTCAACAGCCTCAGGAGTCAAGACATCTGCCTTGGAGATGTACTCATGTTTTGATGAACCTTAAAGCATCATGGGTTTTGACATAATGTTGAAATGAAATCTTTGATGCTTGACAGCTGCCGGCTGCATGGAATGCAGGTTTTTTTTTGTTTTGTTTTTTTTTGTTTTTTTTATAAATGTTACCCCTTTTAGTGTGATGTTTACTACACATTATAAGAATGTGCGTCATTTTGAAGAACGGTTTTAATTCCCTTTATCCAAAAAGCTTTCTGTGGAAGCAATAAATTCATAGGAGTTAATGTCCTTTTTGGTGAAGAATGCTGGCAATTTTAACAGCTGTAAATGTATATGTGTAAAAGTACAGACTTGGGATCAAAAGCTGTGTGAGGTTTTGCACATGGAGCAGAGAGATGCCATCAGATGCAGTGCTGGRACTGACAGCATCATCATCCTGGCATCCCTGACCAGTGCTTGCTCTGAACTAGAGAGGAGCTGCAGTTGGGAGGCTGTCAGCTTCACAGAAACAGAAGGAGCTGGAAATGCTGCTAATGTAGGCTGTGCAGCCAGATGGGATGGCTCACGTGGCTGGGGCAGGGCAGGAACGCTCCCATTGCTGCCGAATTCCTGCGGCCATGGGGGCCTGAGGGGAGCAGGATGGTCCTGTAGCGTAGGAGTGGGCAACTCCTGCTGGCAGTGGCAGCTGCCTTCTCCAATCTGTAGAGTGATCAGTGATCCAGTTGTGACTGATAGTTCACACTGATGCTATGACAGCCCTTAGGGCAATTTCTGTGCAGCGTTTTATTTTGTGTTTATTGAAGGTGGCACCTTCCCAGCTGCTCTTCACCAGCAATAATCACTTTTCACTCACTGTGAATGGAAAGAATGGTGACCCCTGCTTAATGCAGTGATGGTAGAAACAATAAAAAGGCAATGCCCAAGACTGTGGAAAAGCCAAAATTGAACTAAAACCAATGGGAAAAGAAATTCAGAGGGAATGCTTTACAGGGAATGATTTCAACTGCTTTGMAGGTGTCCATGTGTGAGGGACATCAGTGAACAAAAAGGTAAATAAATAAAGAGAAATAAACATGGCAATGGGGATTGTGAAGGTGTTCACAGAGCTTAGGTCTACAGTACTTAATGGAAGGGCAGATGTAGATTTCAAAGTAATTATATTCACCTTTGGCATTGATTTTTTTTTCTCCCTTTCTGTTCTATAAAACAGGACTTCTTWTACAYCCTTTCCTTTCCAAGCAAGAGAGCAAGGCCATAACTACTGGCAAATTCTCAAACAAATGGGAACAAACTTATTTTAATTTAATCAAGGCTCAGTATCYATGGAAGGTTTTCAAATGTGCCCAGGCTTCATTGCTACTTTTGGGATCACTCCTGTGAGCTGCTGAAAGCTTAGCCAGCAGCACAACAGATTTTGTGAGGGCTTTTAAGTGTCCAAATGTCCCCATGGCCTCCCTGGGACAGTTTATGTGGTTAAATTAAATGTGTTGAAGTGGTCCACTGCTGCAGAGCCACAATGCCTGACACAGTGTAGCACTGGGTCCTTGAAAATTTAATTAATCCATTTCAGTGCCAAAATGGGAACAAAGTTCTTTTGGAAGCCTATCTGCTGAGTTAGGTGTCTAAATGTTGAATGCTGAATTTTCTAGAAAATCTAGGGTTTAAGTATCAATAGTGGTAATTTTTACTGATAGCCATTATTATGGGGMCATTATTTTAAATCCAATCCTACAAGCCATTACACTTCCAAAGATGGCCTTAACAGGAACTAAATAATATATGGGTAGTTGTTTGTTTATTTTATAATTTAGATCCACCAATATAGATCTGTTCCAAACAATGTAAATCTCATGCTTAATTAAATTTAAACTCCACACATTTCTGAAAATCTAGTTGCCTGCCTTTTATTTTTAAAATTAGTTTTTCCAGTATGTCTCAAAATCAACTTGCAGTAAAAGTCAAYGTGACCACAGGACATTGGATCTGGTGCTAAGCCTTTGCTCTACCTGTTTTCAGGAAGCACTGTTCTGATAACTGCTATTTTACAGATGTGGCTGARGCTGTTTCTATCTATGCAAGGTTTGCTGGTTGTGTTATACTTGCAATTTCTATAATTAAGACTGCAAATTCCATAATTACTGCTTCAAATGAGAACCATTTTTGCCAGAGCTTGTTTTGACTGTTAACAAAATGGGAACTTTTTGGTGGTGGGTGGGGATGATACCCCTTCAGTTAATCAGGATTTCTGTTGGTCTAACATAATTCTTTCCTCCTTTAGCAAAGTTGTGGCAGTGAAAGTTTCAGTGTTAGGCAAACCTTCTGATTTATTTAGTTTTTCTGAGATACTAGCTGCTACTTTGTAAAATTGCCACTTGCTGTTGATTGTGCCCCTTTTCTTGGAAACAGAATATGAAACTGCATTGTGCTTGACTATCTGTACTATATACTTAAAAAGCAAAATGAAWTAACTTTACAGCTGTTTCATATAAAAAAAAGGAAATCTTAATGTCATGCAGTAAAATGTTTATAAGYAAACAGTTTAAGCAATTCTTGTTTTTTTTTCCCACATAAAAAGTATTACCCCATAGTATGAAAGATATTTATGAGCCTTATTAATSAGCAACTTATGATTTATGGTTTGTGACACTCACAAGAGGTTGACTCAGTGGCATAGGAATTTCTCTAGTTCATCAGAAGCAGTTCGGGCTTGTATTTTTCCCACTAAGAAGTACAGTCTTTGGTATTTTCTAGAAAGTTTTYCTCTATTAGTGATAGTCCAAAGTCAAAAAAGGAGAAGTGGTGTCTGGATAAATCCTCAACATGGCACAGAATGTATTTCAAGATGTTATTAYGTGTCAGGCTGAGGAGATCAGGACAAATTCAGTGT